AATTTCAAAAAATATATATTCTTTATATGATATTAATAACATACTAGAGGGTGTTTTAGTCATTTAACATGGTCAATGGTCGGAATAAAATGCAGTTTGGAGGGAGGTCAGTGTAATTTTTGAAACGTTAGGGGTACAGCCTATAATTAGGCCTAACCTCAGGGGAGGTAAGTGAAATTATCCCTAATATTATTTATGTGTTGGTAATATAAAAATAATATAAACACTTAATATACTGGTTTTATAATATATATGTTTTGGTAATATAAAAATAATATAAACACTTAATATATTGGTTTTATAATATATATTTATAATATATTATTACGTAATAATTTATTTCTATATAATCAAAATTTTGTATTATATTATATTTTATATTATAAATACTATAAAATAATATTATATCATTATTTATATTATATGTTATTCTATATATATATATATATATATATATATAGATATATATATATATATATTAAACAAGATTTTGTGTAATATATATATGGATTAATCCATATATGTTATTTATATACGTGGCTAAATAATTTGGTGCATTTTATAGGGACTTGATGACCCAGATTTTGAAACCAGGTGGGCAGATTTTGAAAAAGAAATATTCAAAGAAGCCCTAGTAGGTGTCTCTTCTCCAACGCCCTAAATATATTTTGACAGAGACTGTGTATGTATGTATTAAACTAGACTAGTTAATTTGATGCATTTTGTAGATATCTTTTCTAGATCGAAACCCACCATCCTACAGTTTTGGTGATCCAGTAAAACTCGAGAACAATCCCAAGAATAAAAGGAATGTCTCTTGGTACTCACGGAAAGCAATTCAGCTTTACAATCACAATAATGTAGGTAATTTTTTAGTTATTTATTCTTTTATTGATTGGTATGTTAAATTCGCATTACACTAAGTAAAAATTCCTTGTAGGGGACAAATTACAAGTTTGTGAAGCTTAATGGGGCAAATCAGTGTGGTTATGGCTGGTGTATTCTTATACATTACTTTTGAGGCTGAGGATAAGGATCGTGATGATGGTGAATGTAAAACTTTTTATGCTGAGCTGTTCCATGGAATCCGATCAAAAACAGAGATCAAGTATTGCGGGCTCGAACCTAAATTAGGTAAAATTAATTTTATTAAATCTTGATTTGGATTTTAATTTTAAATCTAAATTTTAAAAGAGACAGAATATGATATGTTTAGGAGATTAATCCATACATCTTAGATCATGTGCCAACACAGGTCAATACATTATCAAACAATAGTGGGGCCATGTCCTGCAGATCATAGAATTTAAGTAGTTAAAGAATCAACTGTGAGGTTTGGCGGCTGGTCAACACTTAGCTGCCTCTATCATTAGGACAAGGTAGGTTTATTTTTCCCTATCAGTTACCCCCCATTCCCAAGCTTGCTCGTTTAGCTTTGAGAATGTAATTTTTTTTTTTTTCTTCCTAGGATCAGTTCCCGCGGGTACTATTCACATGAACAGTAACTTTAACTTCTTTTTTATTTTTTTATTTTATTTTTTTATTTACCCTTTGGAACTCTTTCCTTGGGTATTCTTCCATTGGGTGACATTAATACAGATGCCAAATCAAGGTTATGTTTTGGAAGGGCGTGGATTCAAACCCATGGTCAATGACTCTTAGTGATGTAAAACTGAATTTTTTTGAAAATCCGATATATTGGTTTCAGTCAGCCCATCCCTTTGGCAAGGGAATAATTTTTATGAGCTTCACTCAGCTCGTCCCTTTAGTATAGGATATTTATTTATTATCCCTTATGATAAGGGAATATTAATGGATTCATTTCGCCTGGGTCCTTTTAGTACAGGACTTTTATTTACTATCCTTTATAGTACGGAGATATTGATTACGGGATTCATTTAGCCTGGGTCCTTTTAGTACAGGACTTTTATTTATCATCCCTTATAGTATACGGGGATATTGATTACGAGATTCATTTAGCGCAGATCCTTTTAGTACATGACATTTATTTACTATCTCTTATAGTAAAGGGAATATCGATTACGGGATTCATTCAGCACTGGTTCTTATAATACAGGACACTCATTATCATCCCTTGTAATACGGGGATATTATAAGTATAAAGATAACTGACCAAGAGTTAATACAACTGAAATGAATTTTATTAAAGACCATCATTGCCTCAAGGTTTATCGAAAACAAAATAACACATGAGGGAGCTACCATCCATTTAAAATGATTAAATTATCAATCAATAAGCAACGTCCCTTTAAAGATGAACTTCTCAGGAACTTGTGAGGATGATCGTTTTTTGACCTGACCTTTGTAGGTTAAGTCCCGATCTTTTATGACCATACTTTTATCAGTTAGGCCCTGGTCTTGGTCTCTGATGACCAGACTTGGGGTGACCAGGCATTGATCTTGGATGACCGAGCCTTTGTAGACTTTGGGCAATCAATTATCAATCTTGGTTGACTAGGCCTTGGTTTCGGATAACCAAGCCTTGATTTATGATAACCAAGGGTTGTACCCTTATGATCTAACTTTTGCCCAAGCTTTATATGCTTGCCCAGCTTGCCTTTTTTTAATAAGGGGATGTTTTGCCTAAGCTTTATATGCTTGCCTTACTTTGTGGCTATGGTGGTAGTGACCTTTCAAATTTGAAGTGCATGTGACTAAGCTTGGTTCCAGGTTGAAAAGACCATCATTGGTGCTTGATGGTTAAAAACCTCATGGGACCACCTTGGACACGGTGGACTCATTGATTGTAGAAACTTCACTGGACTTAGAGTCCTTCCCGGTGTGTAGAGACTTACCAGGTTATGATTTCGAAGGATCGGGCACCGGTCTTAGATGACTAGTGCCCCTGAGGGGTTACTAAAGTAGAGAGACTAGAAACCCGACTAGCTCGATGTACTAAGGTTGGTACGTCAATCTTCTAAACCTTATCATCATATGTAGATCGACGATTCATATAATGTGATCCACTATTCTGCCCCCGATGGTGGGATCTTGGGTGATGACGCATTCTAAAGATGTTTATACAACGGACGAAGTGCCTGGTGCTGTAACAATTTATAGTTGTCTAAAATTATTAGATTGTGTTAGAAATGATTAATAAAAATTAACCTGCAATGAATTATCAATCCAAAATTCTGCATAATCTGAAGTCGATAGGCAACTCCTGCAAGGGAAGAGAGGTGACGACTGTCGTCTGGTAGGTGGAGCTTGGTGTCCAGTGATTGGCTTGATGCCTGGTGGATGGGAACGTGGTACCTAACGGCTGACAGATGATGGTTTGGTGGCCAGTACCTCGTTGGGTCCAATGATTGCCCTTAAGTTAGGAACCCACTTGGGAATACAGACCTCATTGGATATGGGATCTTGAGGGATATTGGACCTCCTTGGACCTGAAGGCCTCGATACATTCTTGGGTGTAGAAGGCCACCCTGATTACACGAACGGACGGAGTAATGAAACTCCGTTGCTAGAGACATCCTCAATGGTAAAGGCTTTACGTAACTAGAGACCCCCTTGTTGGTAGTGATCTTCTTGATGGGTGGAGACCTACTTATTTATGTAGGCGCAGAAGGACCAGACCTTAGTCATCAACAATCAGGCCTTGGTAGCTGGCTGCTGCCAGATATAAGATAGAGTTTGGTCTTAGACGACTAAACCTCAGTAGTAAGGGGATCAAGCATCGCTAGATAGAAAACACCACCTTGGACTGCCTGGGTCAACGTGCCAAATTTTGATCATTGTCATCGTACACTGGGTGACATCACGCAACCCATCGTTTTGCCCCCAATATGATGGGCGGGTAATCATAATGTAGAGACCCGTCCTTATATAAGAACATGGAAACCCATTGTCAACTGATAACTTTGGGATGGTTTCCATGAACGGAAACTTTCATCTTGCCGTCTGAGCCAAGTTGCGTCAAGATTATTATTTCTTCAGAGAACTAATCGTTCCCACAAACGGCGCCAGTTGTTGATGCAAAAATCGTTGCGACTCGGAACGACGGCATTTACCTGCAAAACCAAGGGACGTCACCTCGAATGGCACCGGTAGGATACCAGCCGAGGGCCCTCCGACGATTAAGTTAGCACTTGTAATCGTATCACATAATAATTATGTATATCCTCTTTAGGGGTTTTTTCTCGTACCTTCTTTAATGGCTTGGTGCTTTATTTATGGCTTTTGATTGGAATCAAATTGGTTCCGCCCATGCCGTTGGTTGATCTTATCTTCCGCTTGTGCGAGATCAAAGGAGATTTGTTTGTTGCCAGATTTGTCGGGGATATACTTTACTCATTTGACTTCCTCAAATTGTGCCAAGGTTATCCTTACCCTGTTGAACCACGTCGTCTTTTATTATTCTGGATAAGAAATGTCATTATTCTTATCCAATGAAAATCTTTATCTTTGATAACGAAATATTATCGTTCGAAAGTAGAAGAGGTCTGACGGCTGGTCAACACTTAGCTGCCTCTATTGTTAGATCAAGGTAGATTTATTTTTCCCTATCAAAACCCATACATACAAGTTAGCAGTTGCAGAGAGGGGGGCAAGCTTGAAAGATATGGGTTTTGATTTTTGGAACAATCTGGAATAATATGCCGATATGGGTTTTGATTCTTGTAGATTTTGTAGTTTGCAGTTGGAGAGAGAGATGATCTGTGAGAATGAGAATAGAGAGATGGAGGCGATTGGTAATTCTAGAGAGAGAAAACGGTGAACGAGAATAGGGAGGCTGAAATGATTTTGCCCTACTAACTCTACCAAAAAGCGTAAGATGATAATTTCATTATTATCTTTTCCATTATTTTCTCTTATCCAAACAACAATATTATCAATTTCTTTATTTTCTCTCTTATTTATTTAAATATAAATATAAATTATACCTATCATTTTTTTACTTTCCTTTCTCTTATAATTACGGGATCCAGTTCGAAATTACCAACCGTGATGAGCCTAATGGTATACGCGCGATGAGACGGGATCTGTCATGAAGCGCGCAGCACACAATAATAACAAACCACTGGGCGAAATAAAAAGAAAACCCTAATCCTCTTTTCTTGGCAAATTATCCCCATTCTCACGATTTTCGATCAATCGTATTCGTATCTGAGTCGATAGAAATTCACGTATATCAATCTCAGGACGTTACAGTCTCTAATGTTATTCAGATTTTGTTAGCTTTTTTGGTTGCAGAGAGACAGATATATATATATATATATATAGAGAGAGAGAGAGAGATAGAGAAAAGGAACGTCTTTTGATGGTGGCCGTAGAAACTGGGGAGATGGTGGAGAAGGAACACACGAGGAAACGACGTCGTCTTACGTGGGACGTCGCGCCTTCTGAACAACCAGAGGTTGGTGGTCCCTCTGTTGGAATTAGGGTTAGGCTATGGTTTTTTCAGGCATAACGGAGAGGACCGTTTTGGACGACAAGAAGATAGGGTTTTTTATGGGTCTTGTTTGAGAGGTTTTTCTATAATCTGACATAGCTGGGAATCCTTCGGTGCGTCTTTGTAGGCTGGTGTTCGACCTCTGGAGGCCGCTAATGCAGTGTTGTGTCGGCATGCATCTCCGCCGAAGAGGGAGGACGATCGAGAGGGCCATTATGTGTTCAATATCGGAGAGAATCTCACTCCAAGATGTAAGTTATAGTTCTTTTTTTATTTTATTTTTTTTATTTTATCTATTTGCTTAATTTCTGTTTACGTCCCTTATTTGAATTCTCACTGTTTTTTTATCACTTTGTAATGCATATTACCTGCATGTTTCATTAATATTACTGAGTCGAAGATGTCCGTGTTTTTCATCGAAATTCCTATTAATTACTGTAAAATGCTTGAAGTTTGGGTTATTGTATTATCATATTGATTTTGTAACACCCTTTATATATATATCTATATATATATATATATTTGTTTTAAATCTTTATTTGTACTTTTGCAACATCCATTGTTGGTATTATATTTTAAAGCTGTAAACATATACCTACATTCATATTATATGTAAATGTGAAATCTGGAAGCCATTCATGTATAACTAAATTTAACTCAACAGAACGTTAATTAATCACTACTACTGGTGAGTTGCACCTTGTGGTTGTAAATGGGTTGAACTGAACGAGTTGGAGGGATCAGTTATAGTTCTGTAAATGGGTTGAATTGGACTAGTTAGAGGTCACTGATATATTAAGGGGAAAGACCAATTTGATCCAATATGATTCTGAAGGATCAGTATGACACGAGTTCAAGTTTGAGTTGTGAACTATCGAGATCTTGTACAATGATTTGCTGAAGTACGATATCCCTGATTATTCAATGATTTGGTAATGTTGATATGTAAGAATAGGTGTTTTAAAGATACATCTAAAAAAGTTATAGTTGAATTTTCATAAAATAATATGAGAAGGAAAAAATTAGTTTCAAAACAAATTTCTAATTCTGAAAATCCAAGACCCAAGAACTACAAATATGTATGTTCAAGAAGAGACTAAGCAATTCCAGAGATGGAGTTGTTCTTTATGTGAATTTCATTAAAACCTTTGGGATCTTTCGAATCAATTGATTTGATATATCCAGTATCCAATTGTCTTTAAGCTTGAAGACTTGAATGTCATAGACCACAAAATTCCGGTGCAGGGGAAGTGGCAAGGAATTGAGCTGCAACTGGTTTGTACCTTTTGTTCCCCAACTCTTTATCCCCATTTAGATATCTATTAATTAATATTAATTGATTGATTGATTGTATAGAATTTTATGCTATTATACTTCTGAATGTGGCCACTCTGGTTTAGATTGATTTGTGTTCATAATAGATGTTTTAGTTAATTACAAATGGCAGGCAAGTAAATGACAGTTTGGATGTCTCTTTTGTATATGCAATTGTATTATATAGGACAATAGGTAGTGATTAATTCATCTAAACAATTACAATAACAACTGCACAACTTGGAAGTTGAAAATCCACAAATCTTTTATAGGTAAATATAGTGTACTACTTATGGGTGGCCTATGAAACATAGATACATATATGATACGACACGAATACACCAACACGTCAGATTCTCAAGAAGTAGGACACGGACACTGTGACACTACTTATATAAATATAAAACTTTATTTATATATCTATTGATTAAGACAATTATAGTAAAGTTTATAAGTTATATGATGAAGCTATTTGAATATCAAGAAGAACATAGTGTTATATATGAGATTACTCTCCAATATTGTCACTATAATTGTGTTTTTGTTCATTACGTACCGTGATGTGTTTATTTTTAAAGCAAAAGAGGTTGGACACTTTGGTGTATGCTCATAATAATGTTTCTAGGACTTTCATGTGTTTGCTTATATAAGACGAAGAGTGTAGGATGTGTTGGTGGAGTGTCCGGAATGTGCCAGCGAAGTGTCCGAAATAATAAAAATTAATTTTAAATTTTGGACACGGCCATGACACGTGTTTGTTTAAGAGTGTCCATGAAGTGTCAATGCCCAACACAGTGTTGAACACGGATACCTACCTAGCCTTTGATGTTATTTGCAGAAAGCCAATACCCTCTAGCTTGAACCTAAATTCTTATGCTTGGTACTGAAATATTTCCCAATACATCATTTAATAAGACTGTAATACAAACAATATTGAAGTTCCATTACCTATTAAAAATAGAGTATGACTGTAAACAAAATAAGTTGAGCAGTGTGCTACTTAAGCGTGGTTCAGAAAATCAATGGGTGCTTAAAATATGTTTAAGCTTGATTAATAATCTTGTCGGATTCTTTAGTTTGAGTTGTTTGCGAATTGAGTGAGTAGCTCGATCGCACATTGAGTTTCACTAGCTTGGTTGATTTTATTGCTTTAAAAAGACAAACCATAAGCACGATCTAACCTACCAAACCTGTTGTGTCATTTTTACTATATTCCAGGGGTTTGGCTTAGGTTTGCTATTTTAGGTCCTGTTGAGTGAGTCCCACATCGATTACAAACATATGGAACATGCATTTATATACAAGCTCACACAAGTAATTCTTTTATTGTAGCTCTACCGGTAGAACCTTAGCGGCACATAATTTTTTAATGGAACAAACCAAGAAATAGAATTTATAAAATATCAATTACATTTGTCATAACCACCAAAACTTTTGATGAAATGTTTAAAATTAGTCCACTTCTTAAAATATTCAGCGATGATAAAAATAAATAGATTCTCGAATTTTCTCAACTGGTGCTGCATTTGTAAGAGGGATGAAGAGAGAGTTGATCATCTTTTGCTGCATTGCCCAGTTGCTAGGGACTTTGGGGCCTGCTTTTGTCTTTATTCGGGGTCCTCTAAGTTATGCCTCCGACCTCGATTGGTTTGGTTGAGGCTTGGAGATGTTGTATAGTGGGTTCCCAAGCCCATGATTATTGGAGGGTGGCACCCTTGTGTCTTTGGTGGTGCTTATGGAGAGAATGCAATAGGCGATCCCTTGACGGTAAGGAGGCTCCTTTTGGGTTGCTGAAATTTTCTATTCACAGTTCTCTTGTTTGTTGGGTTTTTAGGAGGAATTGTAAATCCTTGGAGAAGATAGTTGATTTTTTTGGACATTCTGAGAGTTTAGGGGCCCTATTTGGCTGTTCTTTTGTCTATGGCTCGCACTCCTCGTCTAACTTATCAAAAAAAAGAAAGAAAGAAAAGAAGACCATCCTAAACGATCTTATGACACAATCCTATTACGTTCTTATGGTGATTCTACCTTTCTACGTTTTCTCCTACGATTGAGATCGATTTGGTAAGTTTGGATTGTAGGATCGTGTAATTCTATGATCCATATTGTGATTTGGATAACCGTGTACCTTTTGCTACATCGGCCATCGCCACTATTACTTTCCTATTGTAACCTCTGATATGTATTTTTAATAAATATTGTAACATCTAATATTTGATATGTTTTTTACTCTATATTAGAAGTGCAGGCCACATGCATGTGTTGGTCATATTTAGTATGTCAATATAAGCTATTATTGTTACTATTGTTATTGAATTTTGGGCACATTCGGGCATGTCCACAAGTTTCTAAAAGCATTGAAGTGCTGTTTTAAGAGTCAAGACATGGCTCGTTTAAAGATATTATTTTGCTCCATAGCTAGTTAACTTATCAAGTGAATTTGTAATTTTTTAGTGGGTTAATGAATTGATTTGGATGAGATCTAATTTGTATTAAATCCTTCTACATGGTTGAAGAATATTATTTCTTGTGACTCGGAAATTTTGTGTTCTTTGACATTCTCAACCCATGTTACCTTATGTCTTTTCTTTTACTCGTGTAAATTGTAATGTTTCCAACTTAGCATAAATCACACATCTCGACAAGTGCGACTATTGGCATATTTCTATTAGATCAAGCCTGATTTCCTTCATTTATCATCAATTGGCTTTGCTTTTGGTTTATTATTGGGGTATTCATATCTTATTCAGTGATCTCTATACATTCGTTTATCAGCCATGATTATTTCTTTGGCATGTTATCGGCTTCCTAGAATCTCTACTTGGGAGAACCACTCACAAAATATGCACACACTTGCATATAGGCATCTTTATATTTGTATTCATAGACCACTAGCTATTCGCTTGACTGGTATCTATGGCGAACTGCAATGCACATGAATGTATGTCTAGTACCTCATTGGGAAAAAAAAAATTTGGTTGTAAATTTTTTGTTACACTTGCCTGTTAGGGCTAGTGTATCATTCTCCATACGTTTTTATGTGATGTGTTTTGTTGGTAATTTTACAAACCTTATGGTTGAACCTCTTTTTGTCTTTTGAATATGCAGATAAAATACTCGGCAAGATGGGTGAAGGTTAGCTGTCAAGTGCCCGCTTTGTACAAAATTTTGTATTTTTGTGATTCTTGTGTTGCCTCAGCAAATTGCTAGTACTGTAGGCACATTTGGCCGTGTCTTGGAATGTTGGGACCGTCAAACAAGAGAATATGTGGCAATCAAAGTAGTTCGAAGCATTCGCAAATACCGTGATGCAGCAATGATTGAAGTTGATGTACTTCAACATCTTTCTAAGAATGACAAAATTGAATCTCAGTATGTCGTTATTAGTTTACAAAGAAAGAACGTTTCTGGTCTATTTTATATTCATATGATGTTTTCTAACTCTTCTCATTTTACCTTTGTGCAGTTGTGTGCAGATTCGGAATTGGTTTGATTACCGCAACCATATATGTATAGTAAGTATCCCAATGAAATTTCTTTTACTTTATTGCCTTGTCATTTCATTTAATTTCTTTTTATCGCTTACCTTATCGGAAAATCATGATACCATTTCGTTTAGATTTTGAATTATATAGAAAGTAGGTGCTTCTATTTAATGACATTTATAATAGACGGGACTGATGATTCTCTTAATTTCAGCTCCCTCTAGGAATAAAGCAGAATTGTTTCTGGAAATACTGTACTCTTCTCCAATATTTTTCCTTATTAGTGACTACCTGAACTCTCTCCATGTTGAAGTTTTTTAACACCTAAAAGAGCTTGACCTTAGTAAACATTTATAGTACTATGATTCATTTCTGGTGTTTAAATTAATTTGTTCATATGAGCTTCATTCATAACACTGGAAACTTAATGGAAACCTTCCTTTGCATGCATTTTAATGGTGTTGTCAGGTGTTTGAGAAGCTTGGACCAAGTTTATTTGATTTTCTAAAGAGAAATAAATACCACCCATTTCCTGTGGATCTTGTTCGGGAATTTGGACGTCAGCTTTTGGAATCTGTAGCATGTGTGTGGATTGTTCTTGACCTTTTTTATCTCTCTTATTCAATATTCTTTTCCATTTCTAACGTGTCACCCAGTTCTGTTTCTTGGCCTGTTTTGTTTGTCCAGGGGGTATAGCAGTGGTTCGGAAATTATGTCTATTTTTGTTTAACATATTGTTATGCTTCATAATATCTTACAGATATGCATGATTTACGCTTAATCCACACTGACCTGAAGCCAGAAAATATACTTCTTGTGTCTTCTGAGTTTATAAAGCTTCCTGGCTGCAAGGTATTTGGCCTTTAAAATTGGGAAACCATTTTATAATTGGGTGTAGACTCAATTATAATATTCATTAACTTTTGGAATGGTACAGAGGATTTCTACAGATGAAACGCATTTCAGGTGCTTGCCAAAGTCAAGTGCCATTAAGCTGATTGATTTTGGTAGTACTGCATTTGATAATCAGAATCATAGCGCCATTGTTTCCACAAGGCATTACAGAGCACCCGAGGTTATTCTAGGTAACTGGTTACTGTTGGCAAACAGAAACAAATTGATTCTGTTCATTTTATCTATGCGAGTTGTGTCCTAAGGTTAGCCACAAACATTAGGTAGTTACAGAAATTCCAAATTGGCTGTTAGACATATCATTTAGTCTTCTTTACTGTTTTTGCCCCAGTTATTGATATAAGAGAACTAATTGGGGGAGAATGTTAAGGACAAAAAAAAAAAAAATGGAAAAGACAGAAGAGGCAATGGAATCAACAAAAATACTGAACTGCAGTACTGAATTCTATAACAATAATAACCCCCCTCCCCCTTCTTTCTCCCTCCCTCGACTGTGTTTTTGGCATATAAACCCTCATCTATCAAAATAGTTTCGGTCTTACCCCCTTGCCGTTAATAAGAAGCTAAAATGACAATAATCTGCATGTAAAATAAATATATTTACATTATGATTGTATATCATTTATTAAAGTACAAAAATGTACAAATCGTTATGGTGTCGTTTTGCAACAGCTCTTCGGCTTGATGATCCTAAATGACAACATAACTATTTGGGCAATGTGTACTTTTATAATCGATATATTATTGAAATATAAATAAATTTCTTTTACATATGGTCATTATTGTCAATTTAACTTCTTATTAACAGCTAATGTAGCGGCAAGGGGGTCAGATGCAAATCTTTTGATAGATGAGGAGTGATCTATCAAAAAAGTAATTGAGAGGGTTATGTGCCACAAAGCAATAGTCAAGGGGTTTTAGTGCGATTAAGCCTTAAAATTTAATATATATATATATATGGTTAATATGGACACTAGATTCAAAAGATATTAGCATTTTCAAGCTGCCTCTGCTATGTAAAGTAGACGGCGAACTCTCCTTTTGCATTTTTGTAGTTCCTTCATTATAATTTACATAGGATACTCATGTTTTACTAGGATGCAGTTGGCTGCTCCTATTGTCTCCATGTTAGTGTAAATTATTTTGATCAATGGATTGGTTGGTCTGAAGATAGAACTTTGATGTCCTACGTACCAACTACTAGTTCTCATTTTCTTCAAACAACATTCATTGCAGGTCTAGGATGGAGTTTTCCATGTGATTTATGGAGTGTTGGTTGCATACTTGTTGAACTTTGCTCGGTCAGTCCTGCTTGTCTCTCTCGTCCCCCAGGAAGATTATGGAAACATCAATTAGTCATTTTGAAGCCAATTTTTGTTTCAGGGAGATGCACTATTTCAGACACACGAGAACTTGGAGCATTTGGCAATGATGGAGAGGGTATTAGGCCCTCTGCCAGATCATATGACTTGTGGGGCTAAGTAAGTGAATTTGTTGAAAATAATTGGAGCCTGATTAGTTGTTCTATGTAGATTGTTGTAAAATACAAGATGCTGCCTCATGTTAGATTTCGCTATAAGTAATTATCATATTTACTAATGAACTGAGAAATTTAATTTAAATATTTCCCATAAAATGTAATTGTGTGTTTCCATCCTTACTGGCTTATCTGCAGTCGGGGTGCTGAAAAGTATTTCAGGCGAGGGTCACGGTTAAACTGGCCTGAGGGAGCAGTTTCCAGGGAGAGTATCAGAGCAGTGAGGAAGCTAGACCGTCTGAAGGTTCTAGTTTCTCCAACCTTTGTTCTGTCTTTATGTGATATTGCAATTTATGCTTTTACATTTATTTTTTAGTATGGGATTTAGTCGTAGAATATGTGTTCACACGTCCTAGTCGTAGAATATGCGTTCACACGTCCTAGTCGTAGAATATGCGTTCACACGTCCCTTCTCTATTTTTACACTGTTATTTTGAGAGTAACAATACTATATGTGTGTAATGCAGGATTTGGTATTGCAACATGTAGATTATTCAAGATCTTCTCTCGTAGATTTGTTGCATGGTTTATTGAAGTTTGATCCATCTGAACGTCTAACTGCCCGTCAAGCTCTTGAACATCCCTTTTTTAAGAACCCAACTTGAGGAGAGGCACCATGTAAAATATGTTTATTACCGTGTTGCTGGTAATGTCTCTAGGCTTTTTGAATAGCTGGCTCAAACTGGGTTTGGGTCTTCCACATGTATCACACAACATGAGCTTTAATGAAATGTCCATACCTGTTGTCAAGTCTTGCTTTTTTGCTTCTGAAATTCTAAATTGACCATTATTCGATGGAGCGGCTGCATAATGCTCTGATAGGATTTACAGCGCTTGGAAACAATTAAGTTGTATTCATTTAATTAATTAGGAGAAAAAATATATTTTGGACGATGTTATAGATTTGACTTTCTAAACTATTAAATCACAACCATTCTATTGGTTTTAGTTGGTTTAGAAAGTTGGGCAATATTACTTATGGTAGAACTCTGATGAACAAGTGTGAAAATATGAATGAGAGCTTACATTGCTTTATTGTATTTGCCCAAATCAACATTTTTCAATGATTTTAGGTAAACAATATAGAGGCTGACCAAAAAAAAATATATATATATATATATATAGAGGCTGACCCCTCTCTCTCTCTCTCTCACACACACACACTCACACACACGGTTTCATCATTTGAACGTAGTTACCCAAGTCAGCTTCCATATAAGCATAGCAGTTTTAGCAAAGGCAATATAAAAGAGAGCACATACCAGCTACTCATTAGGTAACAGGCAACATCTATCAACTCTTCCCAAGGGGAGAAGCTAAATCCCACTTCAAACCAGACAAGGAAGAGGATGTGTCCATACCAGCTTCGCAAGAATATGGTCCTCCAAAGACACGTTACGTGGCTAGGAGGGGTAGCGTGGATACAAACCTAACATCAGACATTAATTATTTGAATGAACCAATACTCTGGGAATTTTAATTCCTCCATTGCTATAAACCATCTTAGCTTCGGCTCTCTTCAATGCACCCTCTTCTCTCTTTTCCTCTACACGCTCTAGCTTTGGCCTTCTCCAACTTATTACTGCCAATCTTCTCTACCTTTTTGGTTCACTTATCCTGTGCTCTTTCTTGTGCATAAGCAGTACCAAACTTTTGCTTTCAATCTCGCAATCCTTTTGGAGCTTGTTCTTGAAAATTTCAACTTGGTTTCTCTGCAAATTTTGTATCTGAAAATATATAATATAACATAAGCTTTTAAAAAAGAAATTAAAAGAAAAGAAAAGAAAAGAAAAAAAGCAAAGTGCTACTAAAGAGACATAGATTTCTGCACCGGGCAATGATGGCTGCAATTTTCGTTGCTCTAGCAGGCAGGACCTCTTTTCTGGGGAACCCGGTTCCTTCTCCAATGGTAACAAAAACCTAACCAACAATGAAAAAGGACAAAAATTAGAATTTCAACTTCTGTTCTCACAATGTCGCAAGTGGGACTAATATGCAAACCTTCTTGACGTGCCAGCCATATACCACAGAACTACTAAGATGGAGATGAGTGATAAATATGTATGGCTAGATGGTTTAGATATTTGCATATATTATAGGCATGAGCTGTATTCATAGAAAATGCTTACATGGGTTTTGTAAAATTTAACGGGTACATATCTCGTATCTTGAACTATCTATCGAGCATATACCAACAAGAATTAGAAGTTCAACTTCTGTTCTCACAATGGTGCAAGTGGCTAATATGCAAAACTTCTTGACAAGCCAGCCATATACCACAGAACTACTACGATCAATATGTATGGCAAGATAGTTTAGATATTTGCATATCTTATTCTTTCAGGTAGCCTACTCCATCAGCAAAGCTGCAGCACCCCTGAATTTTCATTTCGGCCTCTGATTTTCTTTTACAGAGGCCAAAAAAGAGAACTGAAGTTCGCGAACAAAAAGCATGCCTCAGTCTTCTATTCAAGAAACTTGCACAGCAAAATTGCCAGGCCACCATCCTAAACGATATCACCAAAAATCTCCACAAGAGCACAGTCCATCCTCAAACTTGTGGAACCTATTTGCATCCCTTACCACAAAAACTTTCTCCAAAACCTTGGACAAACTCTTGATGAACTCATGGCAATCCCCACAAACTCTCAAGTTCTTGAAAACCCGAATCGGCCTTCCCCCCTTTTCCAGGCCACCACAAACTAATGCTAACCCGATTGCCAACTTCTCACTGTGCACTCTCAAGCTCTCCTCCTTTGACTCCTCCTCCACGTCGTGCAATGCAAACCTCGCTTCGTATGCATATCCCATCTCTTCTTTTATCCTCCTTTCCATTTCCTTCAAAACTTCATGTATTCTATCTGTAAGTGGGTGTGCCTTATCGGCATTGTAGAAAAAGTGGACCTCCTTGTCAATCTCAACCCAGCTACGTCCTGCTTCTTTCTTTAACCCCTTTACCTTCACCAAATGTCTGAGTCTTTCACAGTCTTTCCAATAGCCGGCGTCTGCATAAATATTCGACATCATGACATAATTGACAGGATTGTTACCATCTAATCTCAAAAGTATTTCTCCTACTTCTCTCCCCATTTCCAAGTCTCCATGTACTCTACAAGCACTAAGCAATGTCTGCCATATCCCTATATTTGGTTTTAATGGCATGCTCTTTATAAGATTCCAAGCTTCTTTTAAGCGTCCAGCTCGACCAAGGAGATCGACCATGCAAGCATAGTGCTCAACTCTAGGAATGATTCGAGGGTCCTCGCACAATCTTGAGAAGTATTCTTGACTTTCTTCGACGAGTCCAGAATGACTACAAGCTGAGAGCACAGCCAGGTAAGTCACTCCATCGGGCTCAATATTATCCAAATGCATTTTCTTGAACAGATGAGTTGCTTCTCTGCCAAGACCATGTTTTCCATACCCGGTAATCATAATCGTCCAAGAAACTACATTTTTCTCTGGCATTTCACTAAAAAGTCTTTCTGCTTCCTCTATTAACCCACATTTGAGATACATATCAACAATTGAATTGGCTAAAGATACGTCAAAGCCAGATGGAACTTTAATGGCGTAAGAATGCATTTGCTTCCCTTGCTCTGCGAGAGCTAAATCAGCTAATACACCAATCATGCTTGAGAGGACAAACCCGTCAACTTGAATGCTACTCTCTCTGAGCTGCCTAAACAAGTCCATGGCCTCAGATACCATTCCTTCTTGAGCATAACCAAGAATTAGGGCAGTCCAAGAAATGACACTCTTATGTTCAACTTGATTAAACACTTTCCACGCTTCAAGTGAGTTCCCACATTTCACATACAGATCAACAAGGGCACCTGCAAGGATTGTCCGGTCCGACAATGGAAATCCTCTTGTGATCATAAAAGCATGAATTTGATTTCCTTCCCGAATTGCTCCAAGACCACTACAGGCTTTTAACGTGCTAGTAAATGTAAATTCATCAGGAATTTCTCCTCGTTCTTGCATTTTCCTGAACAAGAATAATGATTTATCACCCATTCCTTCAAGGGCGTATCCTGCTATCATAACATTCCAAGTTATGAGACTTCTAACTGGCATTATATCAAACATCTGAGCCGCCTCACTTAATCTTCCACATCTCGAGTACATATCAATGGCAGCATTGCCCACCACAGGAAACCATTCAAATCCAGCTTTAACACACATTCCATGAATCTGTCTTCCATTCTCCGGAACACCCAAAAACCCACATGCTTTAAAATTTGTCGAGAAAGTGTACTCGTTGGGCTTAACGTCTGAATGTCCCATCCGGTATAGAAGCCATAACGACGACTTGGCATCACCGTGCTGTAAGTGCCCACACATCAAAGCTGTCCAAGAAACAACATTTCTTTCAAGCATTCTATCAAACACACCACAAGCCATGCTCATCCTACCACATTTTCCATACATCACTATAAGATCATTGTTTATCATCATGTCAGACCCAAATCCCATTTTCATTACAGCTGAATGTAGTTGCAGTCCGTGATCAAGTAACAATTTCTTCGAGCAACTCCTCAAGAGCTCCGCGAATCTTTGCCGCTTACTCATCAATAAAGCTGAGAGTTGATGCATTTAATATCATCAAAATCACAATATCAGCCTTCAACCCTTGTGACCACTTTTGGGGTTGATCACAATAATCATTTGGGCTTCCTTTATTCTGAACAACATGACCTCAAAAGCTCAGTATTCTAACCTCTTTGGAATCAAATTCTTGTGGGACTGGAAAGATACTAAAATAGTGTGGGTTTTCTGCAAATTCTATTTGATTAAACCTTTAATTTTAATTTTTGTTTTTTAACCTTAATTGATTAAACTTCAAATGTCATGAAATTCGACCATTTTTCATTGGATTTAAAGGCAACAATAATTTTGATATTCAAAGTCCCATAACTCCAATTCCGTTCGACTAACTTAAATATTGCTCCAAAACTGGCAATCTTTGTAGGCATTGATGGTCATACCATAAATTGCTATAATGGATTGACGATTTCTCTCACTCATGAAAGTTTCTTGACACTGAGAGGTTGGAAGTAGACGGATATTCAATGGATCTTTTGTGAATGAATTTATATTTAATTTGTTTTTAAATGAATATTTGATCCAATAATTAATTCGATAATCCGATTTGATCTAAGGGTGTAGTATTTTAAAAAAAAAAAAAAAAAAAAATTACGTCAAAAATAAAATAAAAAATAATAATTAAAAACAATGATAAAAGACACACGATAAATAAAATATGAAGAAAAAGAAAAAGAAAAAAAAAATAGATCATTTATTCTTTTTTAATGATATTTAAGAAATGATAAAAATATTTTTATAATATGAAAATATATATTTAATATATTATATAAAATATTATTTATTATTGGGTCGAATTGATCAAAATTTATATCCGATTTGTTTAACTTACCGATTATTAGATTCGATCATTGGTTATCAAATTAAAATTTTAATCAGAATTATCAAATCAGATTCGGATCAAAATTCAATTTAGGCCTAGTTGGAAAAAATATTTGTACCCTTGTTATGGAATTTGCCAAAAACGGTATGCATTTGAATATGACTTTTAGGCGTGCTTTATGTCATGCTCCACGAATTGATGTTCGAACCGCCTACCCTCCTCTTCCCCATCCCACTAACATCTAATCTAACCTATGACCAATTGCCAAGATTTAAAAAAATAATAATAAAAAACATGAATATGACTTTTTATTTATTTATATATTTTCATTATTTTTTTATATTACGAGTAATGACTTCTTACCAAGTACCAAGTAATCCATAAGTTAGAGCTGTTTTAAAATAAAAATAAAAAATAAGTTAGAGCTTCTTACATTTTATACTCCTTAATTTAATTATTGTCACATCACCCAATCATAATTTATTATTTTTCTTTTTGCCCTTTCTCTTTCTATCAGCCTCTGCTTCGAAACTTTTACCTAAGACTCCAGATTGTCAAATTTTGACCATCACGATATTCAATTTGGTTCAGAAATTGTTGTCGAATATTGCATTCATTAACAATGAAAGGTTGCATAACTGATTGTTATGTTGGTCACGAAGAAACTATGAATATGATGAAAAACTATCATGAAGTTTTTCATTATATGTGCTTAAGTTACTAACCTTGGTGACATTTTAAAATTTGTAATGAGATTCCGTTTTTGCTTTTATACTGTTAAAATTATAATTTTGATATTCGTTTGAACAATTTGATTGAATTTTAAATTTGCTTGAATTTTAAATTTATTTTCCTGGAGTAATACACTTATAGACTAATAGGATGTTGGAGGAAGCCAAATATGTTCGAAAATCAACTTGAATAAGATTATCAAAGAAATGGTTAAATTCAAAAAATATGAGTAAAATTGATATTTTAAAATTTTTCATTAAATTTTGTAATCATTTTCCTACCTTTACTTTACCATTTTACCCTATTATGTTTCTCTGTTCTATTTTGTACAATGCAATTATTGGATCTTATAAACATAACCACAAATATTAATTTAATAGCCAATGTGTAACATCAAATTTTTAAACACCCGCAAGCCAAAGATGCCATTTTCATGAACATCAAATTTTTAAACGCCCGCAAGCCAAAGATGCCATTTTCATGACAAATTTACTTCTCATTTGTGATTCAAGTCCCCTGTGACAAATTTACCTTCTCATTTGTGATTCAAGTCCCCTCCATAGGGACGTGGTATCACTTTTACCAAACCCCAGTTTTTCGGACGAGGAACCCTGGTGCTTTGACTCTATAAGAGATGATGAACTTTAAACACCTAATCAAACCTTGAAGATTCAAATGAAGACATTTTTACCACAACCCTCTTCAGTTGTAATTTAACTTGAAATGCATGTTACAGTTGCTTTCTTGCATGTCGTTTCACTTTTTATTTTTTATTCATATATTGTTGAACTTAAAACATCCCATCCAGCTAACTCAGTACACGAGGTTCACGCAATCGCCTGAAAATGGTCAGATGTATACAATCTTATATCAGTATGGAGAGATTTTTTCCAATTACGAACCCAGTGGAACAACCTTAGGTCACATGGACCGAATTGAACTACGTAATTTATAGCTAAGTTGGGCAAATAAATCCACATGACAACATATAAATTTCAACCTCCAAATTCTGGGAAACCAAATATGAAAACTGAAAACATCATCAAACCACAATGCAGGTTGAGATTTGGGTAATATCTTAAACTGCTACCCAACAAATGGAAAGTGATACACTCCCCAAAATTTACTCTCATTTCACTTGATTTTTAATTAAGAAAAAGTAACATAATTGCAACAATTGTAGTGTGTGAAAAATGCTTTTGAGGAGCACTTGTATCATTTTCTTAAAAAAAAAAAAAAAAAAAAATAATGGAGTGCTAGAGAACTTTAGTTGAGTTTGAACATTATTTCTCTTTCTACATCCCCAATAGAACCGTAAAGCCAAATTGGTTCATAAAAGAAGCGCATAGTGCAAAAGTATGAATCAGGAACCAATCCCTTCCGACTTGAATTCAACGTATAAAATGTGAAGGAAAGTACACAAAATTAAACCATACTTAAATTGTCGATACCTCAACTAAAGAAAAGTCTCATTAGATGCAGATTTGGCCAAATATGGGCAACCAACTCGTACAACTTTATGAACTAATACCATATATAAAAATTAAATGAATAATTTACCAGCCGACTTTCTGTGCCAGGGACAGGCCACATATGACAACTATCGCATAGACACTGCAATCCATGAACACTGCACCCATGATGTTCTGCAACACCAACCCCGACTCCAAAGCGTTGCCTACCTGTTCAGCCAAACCATTTCCCCCTATCGAAGGAATATTATTTCCTCCTTGCTCACTCCTTGCAAACCCTCTTTGATTTTCTAAAAGAAGCCGTGCAAGCACAATTGATATATTGGTAAGCAAAAGTAGATATAGTGGCCTCCGAAGTACGATGTTCTTTATCATGTAGCTGCCTAGGACAGGAAATCCAACGTACGACAGAACTACTAAAATCGCTGCCGCTAGTGAACAATAAATGCGAGTACTCTCTGAAGCTGAGACGGCAGAACGTATTTGGTTCGGGGTGAACAATTTGCGGTGATGGATGTGCGGTTGAAAACGATGCTCCGTGTCTGAAGCAGAAACTGAAGAAATTTGTACTGCTGATGAAACTAAAGATGGTTGTACTCTGTCATCAACTTCCCCAGCTGGAGATCTCGAGGATTCACTGATTGTGTCATGTTTTCGCAAAAGCTGTTCTCCTCTGATTTCACCGTGAGAGGCTTTAAACTGGGCAGACTCTCTGCCAGTTTCATGCTTTGGCAACAAAGAACTAAAGGGTTGATCCTCACCGCGAGGAGAAACTGAAACACCAACAACATCCATGAGCACAAAAGACAACTAGAATGTAAAACTATGGATAAAAAAGTATGAAAACCATTGCACGGTAGCTGAAATTGACAGCAGATAAGAAAGATAAAGAAATAAATTCTATACAAGCTTTTTTTCTCTCCAAACATCTACATGCATAAATCCAACGTTCGAAAAAATGCCACATCATCACTTGTTTAACTACTCACAATGTTATGGTTTCATGCACAGTTATATCCCAGCAGAAGTGAATACATGGTGTGTTCTTAACCGTTGGAAGCACAGTTAAAGCTTGGAGAAGTTCCATATCCAAAATATAAAACCCCTGTAGGAGCATAAATTACTACTTAGCCACCACAATATGACGTGTGAAGTGAAATCGAGGCAATATAATGGTCTGAATAATCCAGAATATACGATGCAGTTTACGAAAAAATAAAAATAAAATTAGGAAGTAGACTCCTAACATCTCAGCTCCGGGCTTTGACAATTATAACAAATAAAAATATATATCTGTGCCATAGTGAGATGTAACCCGATCCCAAGAAGTCAAAAACATCTGCCAAAAAGCCATTCTGTTCTCAATGGTAAGAGTTTAGGCACCAAAATAAGTTGATATAGTGGTGCCTGAAAAGTGAAAACAGTCTCCTATGATCTGTGATGTTGAAATTGATGTAGGACAGTCCAAGAGGTTTTCAGGGCAGATTATTGCAACAATTCGTGGCTTGAAGGCTCAAGAAAATACGGTGTTCTAGGGTCTGTAAAATTGTAAGAAAGAGATAAAGGTTTGAGAGGGATTGACTAGAAAAGGAAAGTCCTATAATGCTTCAGAATGGACAAACACTGCCCACACATAGAACTAGGAACTTCCGCTACTAGACTACCAGAAAATACACTAAAAATACACCTCTTTGACATGATATTTGGAGTGCCATCCTCGGAAAGAATCTAACTTATCTACTAGAAGATCAAGAAGCATACTCTATGTGCTAGACTCTGTAGACATCTATGGTAAAAGTAACAAAAGACTCAGAAAGACTACCATCCTAGTCAACTCTAGAAGACGTAGTCTGTCTGTAGTCAGTAGCTAAGTAGCATGATGCATCTAAAAGAGAGTTATATTAGTATCATATCCATATAAAAAAACTGTCACTCCTTGGATTTACCCAAATACATATATGCTACTTTCTAGGTGTGTTCATAAGTCAAAAAATGTTTATGACTTTCAAACCTCTAATAGATTCTTGTTGAATGCTCCTAGTTGTGTGCTTAACACACCTTGAACATTGAGACGCGGCATATACTGAGTAACATTAGAGTATGATTGTAAGAAAAATAAACAAGGGCTGAAAGTACTTGACCATTATCCAAAAAAAGAAGAAATTAAATATAGTGATGGCAGTTGTATCGCATTTGGTCCCAAGTTCATGCAAATGCAATATTAGCCTCATTTTTCGCAATCATCATCATCCTTGCCTTAATACCCTGCAACATTAGCCTCATTTTCGCAATGTTATATTAATATAATCAATTAGAACCCAAGTAACCATGACAGATCCAAAGAGAATGATTCTTCGCCATAGCATTACGCAGTGTATCCCCCGCCTAGTCAAGGTGCTAGGAGGACAAAACTAGAGACAAACCTAACCTTTGGCATGACTTTATATCAAGTTGTTGCTCTGCAACTCAAGCTTGAGACCTCAAGCTTAGAAGTCCAAGTTTATGCCATAATACCAATAAATATATTATTGCCATATTCTTGTGATTTTTGTATCCCGTTCTTTCAAAAAATTTGGTCTTCATGAGTTAGCATCGTAATGTATCTGTAATCTATAATTCCATGCCATGCTTCATAAACAAGTAGCAGTGTATATTAGTTGTTTTTTGTTATATGGACACAAGTGAAAGTGTTGGGTGTGGGTATGTGTTTAGACATCGGATTTATATTTGTATCATTTGAAATGAAGACACAGCCATGTATTTGTATTATTTGAAAATTTTCTTTTATTTTCTGAAAAAAAATATGTTCACTCCTTTTGAATCAGTAATATAACCAAAGGAACATAATATGGTAGCTTTATATAAATTAGATAATAAATTTGAATTTTATTAAAATCATCCCCGTTCAGGAAAAAGAATTGAACCACTAAATATGCATGTTAAATGCATGTACAACCATACGTGAGGACATTTTTTAAAAGTCTATGCAACACAAGACTCATAGAAGAGAAGAACATGTACTAGTTTAATACATAAAGTGCTAGCAGACATATAGAGTAATGCTCTCTTCTGGATGGGAATGAAATAAAAAATCTTGGTATGGAGACTTTGACACCTTGTTTGCTTGATTGTTCACAGATGCGAATCACATGCATGCAATCACCCAGCAACTGTTCAGTGTCATGCTTTAATTTACTTTTTGAACCATAATTTATAGATCTAAATAATTGGTGACTTTCCCTTCTAAGTATTGATGACTTACCAGATACAAGTATATCAGAGAAACAGTTACAATTTGTCTAGCAAAAGAAAGACACCGTGCTCCTATTTACAACATGGATTCTTGCTGGGGCATACTAAATCTCCAATTATAGCCCTACTACTACAAGGTTTCACTTTTAATCCCTTTTCGTATTTCATATTCTTTCATCAGTATGGGAAGGGAGAATGGTCCTTCAGTGAAAGAAATTAATTGTTGCTATTACAGTAAACAAAGTAGAATTCCACCAATAGGGGTTTTCCTTTAAAGTTAATTATTTGTCTATTTACACTTTAGCAGAGTCAGATTTTAAATTTTAACCATTATACATTCAAGAATAAAAGGTTTTCTGTCTTCTAAAGCAGATTTTTGCCCAATCATTCCTCTCTCTTGTGTTCCCATGAACAATTTTCAATAACCATTTAAAAATTTCTTAACTTGGTATTCAATAATGACAATTTACTGAAAACCAAATGACACATCTATTTCCTTTTCCTTTAATTTGCAAAAATGGTTTAAAAAAATTTGTAGGCAATTCAAGGATTTACTCACAAGTTAAGAAAATTGAGAGAATAAAAGCTATGATGGGAAATTTGCTTAATTAAAGCTATTGCTTACCCTAGCTGACTGATAACGGTTCCTATATAAAATATATCTAAAGCTCAGAGCTGATATGTTAAATGAAAAATCCAAATTACGGAAGAAGAGATTTCTCTTCTTTGGGGATAGGAAGGGAAGTTCGCAACTTTTTACAAGGAGAGTAAGGTCAACACTTGCCGATTATCCTGAATAATTTTTGACGTCACGCTTTCTTTACCCTCAACTTTGATTCTTGTATTGGTTACAGCAAGCTGTCTTGACCTATTTTTTAGCATAGGCTAATCCCTATGGATGCAAAATCACCAGAAAACCACATGCAGCTACTAGGCCTCAAAACCTGAGACGTTTGCTTCCAAAGCCTGACTAACTCGCCACATGTACGGGTTTGGTTTATTCTAAAACTCAAAGAGTGCAGTATACTTAGTTCTTTGATTACTCCTGAATAACATCAGTTGATGATTTCAATGACGGATAATATCTGGGATACAACAAAGTCCTTAGTAACACAAAACTACTCCACAAGTTTTGGATAGTTCATCCATTCATAGCTTTGGTGAGTTGGTGACATTAACATTTCACAATCCACAAAGGGTAAAGAAAACGCAATCGAACAACGTAAGTCTTGTGTTCGTCTAGTAACCAATTCAGCAAAAGTGTCAATCTTTATTTTTATTATTTATTATTTATTATTTTTTTTCGTAAAAAGCAATTCTGCATCGGTGTAATTCTAATAGTACCTTAACCCAATTATAACAATAATCGTAGTGAAATATGTTTTATCATGTGTAAAAGAATCTTATCTATGAAAAACAACTATCTCCATTTTTTTTTTGTAATTCATTATGTCAACTCATTAAATCGCTAAATTCATACAAAGCATCAAGATATTAATTTATCAATAGTAAGCTTAATTTGATGATTAAGTATACAATATATATACACACATATATATAGACAAAATAAGAGAAAAGATTTACAATTCATCCATTGGCGTATATTAACAATTGATATATAACCTGAGAGAAGGGATTCACGATCATGGTGCTCGTGAGAGATCAACGGAGGACCTGGGGCCGTCTCCGAATCATATGGCTCTAATGATGACGACGACGAAGGTAGGGTTTGGATTCGACCGGTGATAAGAGCTAAACGGTCCGATCCTCTGTCCACGATACGACGTCGTCGCGCCTCTCGGCTACTCGTTGCCATGCTTTCCGTATATAATAATTCAAGTGAATATAGGTAGAGAGAGAGAGAGATTCTGCAATTACTTCATCAGAGAGCGAGAAGAAGGAGATTATGGAATTACGGATCCAAGCTCGCTCTTCTGGATCGCTCACGTTGTGTTTTATTCTTCCTCTTTTGCCCTTCAAATTTATAATTTTTATAATTGTAAAATGTAAATAGTGTCCAATTGTTATAATTTTTTATTGTTTTTAAAAAAATGGTTGGTGAAATATATATATGAATTTAGTGAAGAAATTTTGAGGCATTTTTGTACAAATGAGTGAAATTCAAACTAAAAAGAGTGTTTGAATTCAAATGTGAGAATAATAGAAGCATTGCTGTCATTTGGAAATATTGAATGAGGGCGATTATTTTAGAATTTGGAGAAACAAAAATGGTTGCTTTTATATATGTTCATTAACTTAAATGGGCAAAATAGAAATAGTATAGTCCTCCTATGTTTTTTTGGGTTATGGTCACTGCAATGTTATTTACCAGCTAAATCGATGGCATATTAAATTAAATAGTAGTATATTTTAATTCCTACTCATAAGTGTTGGTTTTACATTTGGATTCGTCTTTAAAAACTTCACGTGTATCCTGAATTATAAAGTATTCTAAGTACAAAAAAGTAATCAAGGGCGTTGAGTACTATTTTGTTCTTTTCATAGACAAAAGTAAAAAAATAATAATAATAATAAAAAATAAATAAATAATTAGAACATTTGAGTGTGAGTTTCTTACCGTTGACCAAAAAAATAAATAATAATAATTAGAGTATCCTAAGATATCTGACATTATCCTTGTGGACCAGAGCCATTTATTGAACCCAAAAATTTTGCGAACCCATTTAAAAAGGGAAACATCAAAGGAAAAAATGGGTTAACTTCCAAATTTTTTTTGGCAGTGGGTTGGGCCTAACCTGTTAGAATTATGCCTAGGCCCAAACAGGCAAAGGTTGGTGGCAGGGCAAACTGGTGGAATGGGTTTTTTTGTGATAAAGTTCAGAAAATGGCAGCCCACACTATCTACTCAAACAGTGGTAACATCCCTAACAAAATGTGTTTATATTTCAGTGTTAATTTTCAATCGCTTTGCGAACTTCAGGCTTGGAAAATGAATTTAATTTTAAAATCAATAACTTTGTGAAACCATTTTGCGACACTTTACCTTAGTGTATTGGACTTCAGGCCAATACATTTATACGGAACTTTGGATTCGCAAAGAATGCATGCCTCAAGTTTATAGAAAGTATTAGTATAAATTGTTAGAGAAAATCATACATGATGTGACCTATATATTGCCATTGTAACACATCCTTTTTATAATTATTTTTATGTTGGCATTTTTACACATCCCTTCGGTTATATTGAAGAGATAAAAAGGGTAATTTTGGAAAGTTAATAAAGCGGTTTTAATAACTAATACTGACCTGAATAAATTTTGGATTTCTAAATTCTTACGATTTTATTCATAGGGTTTCTTTAGAGATGTCTCACACTTGGATAAATGACCAAGGACATAAGTCATAGGAGTATTCCACTTATTGCAACCATTCAAATTTATAAGATGCTCTAATAATTAATTTGCAATTTTTCCAGAACATTTTTTATATTAGATTCTTGAATAAATTTATTGGCATGATAAGAAGATATTTAAAAGATTTGTGAGTCAATCGCGCTGGCCAAAACATTTTCTATCAAATCTAAATTCTAAACGCAAACAACCATATATGTGTAATATAAGATTTATAATTTTTTTCTAATTTTTTTATTTAAGTGGAGCCCATATCTACAACATGTTTCTAATTTTTTTATTTTATAAATATTTATAATTATCAAAGCTGGAGCTCTTGGGACCGGAGGACTTTGAAAAAGTTGTAACCGAGTCTTCTCATCAAAACACGGATCTATAATTTCCCCATCCAGTGGGTCACAAAAGTAACTTTCAAAAAGACTCTCGGAGTCTTTTCTCCGGAGTGGGGAAGGTGGTGGTTGTTGTTGATGGATAAGAGTTGCGTGTGTGGTAAATAATTTATCAGAGATTGTGTTTTTCAAAACTAGTGTGGCTATTCAATGTTTCTAAATATATATATATATATATATGTCATTTATCAGATATTGTGTTTTTCAAAACTAGTGTGGCTGTATTCAATGTTTCTATATATATATATATATATATATATATATGTCCTTTCTTATTGGTCAAAAAACAGTCTTCCACTTACTACAACCTCATTCATACCCATTCTAAATGGTATTGATTTTCAATCATTCTATAACCACTTTTTTTTAAATAAAAAATAAAAAAATAAAAGTTGCAGAGGCAGTTCTTGTTAATATCGTGGGTGAAATTGTGAAGAAGCTGTGATCTTCTAGGCTTTGCCATTTAAGAGATTCAATTGGTGAGTGGAAAAAAATGTAAGAAAATAAAATAAAATATGTAAGAAAATAAAATGTAATCTCAAAAATCAAAATAAAAAAATCAAAAGGGAGGCCTAATGTAGTGACCCAATTGCCACATTATTGAACAAAACAAAATATCCAGGAAAAAATATCCAGAGACATGTAGCATATTATATCACTATTAAACAATTATTCTAACAATGACAACTTAGTATGCGTCCCAGATATTCAAGACCTAGTCTCACAAATTAAGATGATTAACATTAAGTGCAGACATGGACGAAATCAGTAATATATTTCAGGGGTGCAATGAACATGGTAAATAGTGCAAGCAAATAACAAGCCAAAAAATTGAAGTATAGTAAAAGATTTCAAATACATGATATATGAACATGAATTTCATAGAATTGCAATAAAATTTAAAGAATGCGAGGAAAAATAATTAGAAAGATAAAGGTTATTACACATGCATCATATATTTTTTAAAAATTAACAGTAGAAAAATAAATTAATAGAAGAATAATAAAATAAAAAGAAAATGAAAATGAAAGAACTTTGAAGATGAAAATTAGGGTTTGATTGAACAAAGGGAAAATAATTTTTTTGAAGGGATCAAAAACACTTGAAAAAGTAAAAAGGAAAAGATAAAAGATAAAAATAGTTAGAGATAAATATTCTTAGAAAAGGAGAATTTTAGGGGGGGGGGGGGGGGGGGGGGGACAATCTTACAAAATTACATCCACTAAAGTGAGTTTATTACACTTTATGATAGTTTTATGTTATTTTAATTCCTATATCTTAATGGAATGGCTCAAAATTGTTGCAAGTTGAGTTTATAAAAAAGGGTTTACTGTATACATGGTGATATGGGTGTGAGATTGTTGTGAGCTTATTTTTTTTTTAAAAAATCTCTCTTTCTTCTTTGAAATTTTATTTTACAAGTTGTGTTTGGGACAACTTGACACAAAAATGGTACAATCTAATTTTTTTCGAAGTTCTAGAAAAAAAAAATCATAAATATATATGAGTTATATCTTGGACCATTAACATTTACAAGTATCATTTAAACAAGTTGTTTCCCACTTATTTTATTATTATTGTTATTTTCTATATTATTCTATGAAATTATTTGTTGTCATTGTGCTAATTATCATGTTAGTTTCTTTAATTATTCTTATATTGCACATGATATTTCTTCTCCATGTTGTTGTTCATGTTAAAATGTGTAATTTTAAAATGTTGAGTAATTAAAAAATTATTTTTTTGTACACATATTATTTTATTCTATAATATTTAATAAAAATGGATATATTATATTAGTGCATTATAATTAATTTGTAATCTTTTTTTTAAAAAAAGTAATTTATATTGAAATGGAAGAAGCAACTAATTTATAAATTTTTAAATATTTTCTTTATTAGATTCTTGGATAAATTTATTGGCATGATAAAGAAGATATTTAAAGGACCCGTCAATCACGCCAAAATCTTTCTATTCGAATCGGCAAGCAAACAACCAATAAAGGACAAAAAAAAAAAAAAAAAACACCTCCCTTTCAGTTTACTTTAGGTCACATCCCACACCCCGACTTTATAAGTTCAAAGAGACACTAAATTTAATTGGAACAATTATTTTAAGAAAGGTAAAAATAAAAATATGAACACTACTGTAGTAGCCAAGATTGAAGTATTATTTTATTGTTCTAAAGAATATAGAAAATAATATTATTGATCATTTTAATACTCGGACTTAAAAATAGACATCATTACTATTTTTATTTGTTTCAATAAAATACGTTAATTTTTATTTATTTATCTATTTAGTTTTCCATAACCGTATCATATATATATATATGATACTCAAATAAATTTTATTGTTCACAGTAAATTTTATGGTACTCAAATATAAGAATTTGATTTGTCCAAAATTTAGAACAAAAAAATTGCAATATTTGTACACTTTTTCATTGCTTTGCAATTTTTTTTTTTTTAAATTCTTTCCTCGTTTTCGTTTTTGAGAATTGATAAATCATTATAACAATAAACAAATGCCTATCAAAATAATGAATTAAAAACAATCTTTTATATATAACGAGGTATATACAATCTAATTATACATGGGAGATATAATTTAAAGTCTCTCAAGAGTCTTTACAAATATATAATGTGATGTATATATAAAACAGATATATACACTTTATTATTATTATTTTTTTAGGTTAAAAAATAATACACTTTAATCGCCAAAAGATACTAGATTAATATGAAAACTAAAAAATAGATTACAATTTTTTAAATAATTAATTGTTTATTATTTTAAAATGGTACGGTGAACTATAAGTTTTTTATTTTTCAGATTCAAAGAATATATATTACAATAGGTCACAAGTGTTACATGCAGGCCATGCCCAGCTGTCCTGGAGAAATTATTGTATGGACCAAGTCCATACACCTCATTTGTTGAGTTGGTGAACTACACTGACTAATTCTAGATAGCTGTAATAAAATCATTTTTATATTCAACACGTCATCTTTTTTAATAAGTTGTCAGGTTAGCAATTAACAGGAACAAACTCTTTTTTCAATCCACATTTTGAATCCAGCACGCAAAGAAAAACTTGACAAATGATTTCTCTTTCTTGATTTTGTTTTCCCGCCTTTCTCTCTCATTGGTTTCGTTTTCCCGCTTTTTGCTTCATCAAAATATCAGCTTTCAATCCATCTTCAAACAAAACTTCTTTCTCTCTAAACCATCATAAGTCCCTGCTCTGTTTTTCCTCTTTCATCCATGAGCTTCTCAGGTACATTCCTTTATTCTATAAACAAACAAATTATTATAAAAAGTTTATACTAATACTAGCATCATCATACATAAAATACATTAAGATACTTGTTTGTTTTTTTTATTGTTTATCTAGAAAAGAAAATATGTATTGCACAATTTTGGGGCCATTTTTTCTAGTTGAACTTTTTTTTCTCTCTAAACCATCATAAGTCCCTGCTCTGTTTTTCCTATCTCATCCATGAGCTTCTTGGTACATTCCTTCATTCTATAAGCAAACAAATTATTATTGAAAATTTACACTAATACTAGCATCATCATACATAAAACACATTAAGATACTTGTTTGTTGTTTCTATTGTTTATCTAGAAAGATGTATTGCACAACTTTGGGGCCATTTTTTTTAGTTGGATTGGCTCCAGGTTGGTGTGTTTTAACATTAGTATGATGTTTAAACCCATTTCTTATAATTAATTCCTTGATTGTTATGATATTAATTTTTTTTGTTCAATTTTAATGTAGACCATATTGACAATGATAAAAACCCTTATGTTATACACGAGAGGGAAGATAATTCTGATCTAAAAGTTGGAATGTTGGTATATAGTGAGGAAGAAGCTTACAATCTGTACAACACTTATGCTATAAACAAAGGGTTTAGTGTACGTAAAGGAAAAGTTCGGAGGTATGAAGGCACTGGTGGTTTGCGGTAACGTATCTTTTTGTGTTCATGTGAAGGCTTTAAGGAAGATGGTCCACCTTTTGAAGAAAAAAAATATGAAAGAATGCTAACTAGGACCGGTTGCAAAGCTCGTGCTATATTTAATGCAGAAAATGGTATTTGGGAATTGTTTAAGTTTATTTCAGAACATAACCATGTATTTGCAAAGCCCGAAGAAAGACACTTGTTGAGGTCAGGGAGAAAGATTACTAGTACTAATGCAAATATCTTGAGTTCCATGTCAAAAGTTGGTATAAGAGTGACTAAGGCATACCCATACTTGTCTAAAGAGGTTGGTGGAGTTCAACATGTTGGGTTCACAGAACGTGATTGTCATAACTTCTTACAATCTGAAAAATCAAAATCAATAGAAGCAGGAGATGCTCAAAGTGTCATCAATTATTTCAAGTGCAAGCAATCAGAAAATCCAATATTTTTTTACACAGTTCAAGTTGATGATCAAAATCGAATGACTAGTTTTTTTTGGAGAGATGGTTCCTCTAAATTGAATTATCAATATTTTGGAGATGTTGTTATATTTGATACCACTTACCGGACAAATAAGTACAATATGATTTGTGCTCCTTTTGTTGGAGTAAATCATCACTGGAAGAACGTATTATTCGATTGCGCTTTTTTATTGAATGAAACAACAGCTTCTTTTGTATGGTTATTTGAAGCATTTCTGGAGGCGATGGGAAATAAGGCTCCTAGTACAATTTTCACCGACCAAGATAGTGCAATGGCAAATGCTATACGTAAGGTGTTACCTAACACGCGACATCGCCTATGCACATGGCATATCATGAAAAATGCAGCTCAAATTATTTCTACTTTGTTTGCAAATCCAAGGTTCAAGGATAAGTTGACAAAGCTCTTTTATGGTTGTGAAACAGAAGAAGAATTCGAGTCCATTTGGGGAAAGATAAATGAAGAGCATGACATTGTAGGGAATAAATGGTTGAGTAAATTGTATGACATTTGTGAGAAATGGTGCCAAGTTTTTAGTCGTGATACATTCTCGGCCAATATTTTATCAACACAAAGAAGTTAGAGAACAAATAATATCTTTCAACATATTGCTTGCAAGTCCATGACTCTTACTGAATTTGTGCAGCATTATGATGAAAGTGAAAGTCGAATGTGTGAAATTGAAGTGGCAGATGATTTTACATGTGCTAGAGGTAAGCCTCCCTTGCTAATACCTAATAATTGTACTTTACTCCATGCAGCTCAAGTGTATACACATAAGATTTTTAAAATGTTTCAAGCAGAGTTCTTAAAAGCTTTAAGTGAACAAATTATTCATGTTGATACTGTTGGGGAACTTCTCATTTACACTTTGAAAGGTATGGGTTGCAATAGAGAACATATGATAGAATTTCACTATTCTAATCTCACTATTTAGTGTAATTGTAAAAGGTTTGAATCTTTGGGCTTGTTGTGACGCCATGGTTTAAAGATATTGAATCATAATGCCATCCAGAATATTCCAAGTGATTATATTTTGAAAAGGTGGACAAAAGGTGTAAAGGAAGTGATTATCATTGATGAAAATGGTGAGATATCCCAGAATGCAGCAACATCGTCAAAGACAATCTTCTTGAACAAGCTCATGTGCAAAGCTTTTAGTGTTATGAGTTTAAGTGCATATGATGATGAAATATTTATGGTTGCAAATGGCCATCTAGACCAAATTGTACAAGAAGTTAGAAATATTAAATCAAGGAATGTGATAGATGGTTGTAATTCTGATAGAGTTGATGTTGCAAATAAAGTAAATGGCTCAATTGATGAAAATGTGGTGTTAGATCCTCCCCGTATGAGGCCAAAAGGGGTAACATATGGTAGAATTAAGGGCAGCTTGTAGAAGCGAAAGAAAAATCCAAAAAAAGGGTAACAACATCTGTAAGAGAAGATTTAAGGGTTTCTTGCTCTCAACAAATGGTATCTAACTCCCATAATCAGGTAGATATAATACAAGGTGTATGTGTAGTCATTCATATAGAGGTTATCTTATAATTGTTATTTATTTAAAAGGTTTGTTATAATATTCCATACAGGTTTTTGGATATCATAAAAGTCCTTTTGTAAGCTTTCAACAAATGCAACCTTTTTTGCCAAATCAAGCAAGTCACAATTCTGATAACTTTAATCAGGTATGAACATTTCACTTTCATTTTAAACATGAATAAATGTTTAAATTATGTTTAAATTATCCTTTATATCCTAACTTTTATGTTTTGTAATTACTTTGGTATTTTTGTAGATGTCTGAGAAATGAGACTATGGAAATTGTGGGACTTCCTAAGAGAGCTATATGACCATTTTTTCTGTTCGTCTTGATAATTTTGTCCTTTTTCTATTATGATGAAAAAAAAGTACATTTTGCTCTTGATTTTTGTAATGGAAGATGAATCCCAAACTGATGTACAATATTATTTTTGTAATGGAAGATGAATCCCAAACTGATGTCCTGGGCCTAGCATAATGAAATGACCAAGGCATTGCACGTCTAATGTGGAAACTGCAGCAAGCCCGCGTAATAATGTCAAAGAAGTCCACTCTGGCAGTCTCCCACTTGCTACATAAACACACAGTATAATAGGTTTATATGTGATTTTATTTTTAATCTGAATTATCTGGCCAAAAAGCATAAAAAAAACCCTCAAATTCCCATTATTGCATAATATTCCTGAACTATTTTTGCAAACAAGTTGTCCCTTTAAACTATTAAAAATAAGAAAAATATCTCCTTAAATATCATAAAAGTTAATTTCGACCAACTGAAGAACATAATTACTAATTTATCTTCACTTTTTAATTTATTGTAAAAAATAAAAATATGTACTATTATGAAATGACTATTTTGCCCATATCTTCTTCTTCTTCTTCTTCTTTTTTTCTTTTTCTTTTTCTTTTTTTTTTTTTTTTCTTTTTTTGAGACTGATTGCTTTAATTTTCACCATATTTCGACTTAGCGGGCAAGAGGGCCCCATGTCATGTGAATACCATAAAATCATGCAAAGTAACATCGAAAAACCACAAAATGTTTAACAAATAAATAAAAAACATTTGTCGTTTTGTGATGAAATTCGATATGGGCATAGGGAGGCCGCTTTAAAAATGGAGAACATTTTCTAAAAATTTTAAGAATTACATTCAATTAAATAAAAACATATACTATGTGGCTCTGTTAAGTCCCGAGAACTCCTCCACCTATTGCATAATATTAAAATTCGCTCAATTATGTGATTTAATTTTTATTAAAAATATGTAGGCACTATTAATGATATTTTAATAAAAATTTATTATTATTTTATATAATGTGAGTTTATTACCCTTTATGATAGTTTTATGCTATTTTAATTCCTATATCTTAATGGAGTGGCTCAAAATTGTTGCAAGTTGAGTTTATAAAAAAAGTATGATTGTAAATGTCACGTGTCAATCTGTAATGAATTCAACTCAGATTAACTTAGAGAAAGTTTAACTTAATAGAGGGGTCATGCATCCATACATGGTGATATGGGTGTGAGATTGTTGTGAGCTTATTTTTTTAAAAATCTCTCTATCTCTCTTTCTTTTTTGACATTTTATTTTACGTGTTATATTTGGAACAACTTTGACACAAGAACGGTACAATCTAATTTTTTATGGAAGTTCTCGAAGAAAATCATGAATATATGTGACTTGTATCTTGGAGTCATAGTAGACAATTAACATCTCTAAGTATCATTCAAACTAGTTATTCCTTACTTATTTTATTATTATTGTTATTTTCTATATTATTCTATGAAATTATTTGTTGTTATTGTGTTAATTATCATGTTAGTTTCTATAATTATTCTTATATTGCACATGATATTTCTTCTCCGTGTTGTTCATGTTAAAATGTGTAATTTTAAAATGTTGAGTAATTAAAAATTATTGTTTTGTACACATATTATTTTATATTTTATAATATTTAATAAAAATTGGATATATTGTGTTAGTGTATTATAATTAATTTGTAATTTATTTTAAAAAAAATTATTTATTTTAAGACGGAAGAAGCAATTAATTTACAAATTTCCTAACATTTTTTCTTGTGTAAATTAATTGGCATGATAAAGAAGATATTTAAAGGACCCGCCCAAAATCTTTATGTTCGTATCTACATGCAAACAACCAATAAAGTACAAAAAAATACCTCCCTTTCAGTTTACTTTTGGAGAAAAAAAAAATATTCCCTCCGTCCCTCATTAGTAGTCCATTTTTCTCTTTTTACATGTTCCAAATTAGTTGTTCTCTTTAAAAAATTAAAGTATTTTTTCTTTATATTTTCATCATTGTCTTTTATCTTTTTTAAAAATTTCAAACTTTGTAACTGTATATATTTAAATTAAAAAGAATAATTTGATAATTTTAAAAGGGAATAATGCATTAATTACATGTCCCCTTCAAAAGTTATAAAATCAAGAATGAACCATTCAAAAGGGACGGAATAGTAATAAAATAAAAAAAATTCCCTTTCACTTTTAAACATGGGTCATGGCAGTCTTCCACTCATACCATTCAAATAGTATCCAGCTGGAGACAGTTTTTTGGGAAAAAAATATACATATATTTAGAGACCTGCAACATATTATATATATATATATATATGGGTCATGGCAGTCTTCCACTTACTGCAACCTCATACCATTCGAATAGCATTGCTTTTCAATCACTCCAGTAACCACAAAAAAATGGTGGACGCAGTTCTTTCTAACATTGTGACTGAAATTGTGAAGAAGTTGAGCTCTGCTGCTTTCCAAGAGACCCAATTGCTGTTTGGTCTCAAAACAGAGTCTCGCAGATTGGAGGACACCATTTCCACGGTGAAAGCAGTACTTCTTGATGCCCAGCAACAGCAGCACGACCCAGACAATCAGGCTAGTGTTTGGCTCAAAAAGCTCAAAGAAGTGGTTGATGATGCCGATGACTTGCTGGATGACTTCTCAACAGAAGATTTGCAGCGTAAGGTGATGACCTCCAACAAAAAGGCCAAGAAGGTACTCATTTTCTTCTCAAGCTCAAACCAGCTGTTTTTCCGTCTTAAGATGAGTCACAAAGTTAAGGCCATTCGTGAGAGACTAGATGCCATTGCTGAAACTAAGATCAAATTCCACTTTAGTGTTGAACCGCCTATAGATATGCAACTTCGGATCGATAGGAGGGAGGATAGTCACTCTTTTGTGGTTGCTGAAAATGTTATTGGGAGGGATAATGATAAAAAGGCAATTGTAGAATTGTTGATGCACTCCGAGGTTCAAGAGAATGTGTCAGTCGTTGCAATAGTTGGGATCGGGGGGATGGGAAAAACCGCACTTGCACAATTAGTATCTAGTGATGAAAATGTCAAAAAACATTTTGAAATTAATATGTGGGTGTGTGTTTCTGAGGACTTTGGTGTGGAACAAGTGGCAAAATATATAATAGAGAGTGCAACAGGCGAAAAAACTGAAGGCCTTCAGATGGATGGGGTGCAAAAGAAACTTAGGGAAATAATTGATGGGAAGAAATACTTTCTTGTGTTGGATGATGTTTGGAATGAGAATCGTGACCGATGGTTAAACTTGAGAGATCTGTTGAAGGGTGGTGCAAAAGGAAGTAAGATTCTAATAACCACTCGTAGTAAATTAGTTGCAACTACTTCAGGAGCGAATTCACCTTATGTTTTAGAAAGCTTGTCCGAGGAAGAGTCTTGGTCCCTTTTTAAGCAAATGGCTTTTAAAGGAAAGAACGAGTTACAGAATGCACGTCGAGTGGAAATGGGACAAGAAATTGTGAAAAAGTGTGCAGGAGTTCCTCTAGCCATTAGAGTTTTAGGAAGCCTATTATACTCGAAAGACACAGAAAATGAGTGGTTGAATTTTAAAAATAAAGATATGGCAAAAATAGCTCAAGAGGAAAATATTATTCTACCAATGTTAAAGTTGAGCTATGATCACCTTCCCTCGTATCTAAAACAATGCTTTGCATTTTGTCGCTTATATCCTAAAGATCATGAAATTGATAAGCAACAATTGATCCAATTGTGGAGTGCACATGGATTTATCCTGTTGTCAAATGCAAATGAAGATCTGGAAGATGTTGGAGATTTGTATTTTCGAAATTTATTAAGGAGGTCATTTTTTCAAGATGAGAGCAAAGACAAACTTGGTAATATAATAAGTTGTAAATTGCATGATCTTATGCACGACCTTGCAGTTTTAGTTGCGGGAAGTGAGAGTTCGACAGTTTTAGTTGCGGCGAGTGAGAGTTGGAGGATGAATTTGGACTCAAAAGATGTTTCTCCAAGAACCTGTCACGTGTCATTTGATTCGAAAATACATGGTTCATCAGAATGGGAAATTCCAGCTCCGTTGCTTGGAAATATCAAGATTAGAACATTCTTTCTTCCGGCTCAAGGCAGAGGCTTTTACTCTGATACCAATTTGTTCACATATAGGAGGAAAGATAATTCAGTTTATGTAACAATTGTTTCCAACTTTCAAAGGTTACGCGTGTTGGATCTGCATTGTTTGGAAATGAAGACACTGCCGAGTTGCATAGGTAAACTACGGCATTTAAGGTATCTTGATATATCTGGTAATCAAGATATCAATGCTCTGCCAAATTCTATTACCAAGTTGCAAAATTTGCAAACCCTAAAACTTGATGGTTGTTACGATCTTGAAGAATTGCCAAGAGATATTAGAAAATTGGTGAGCCTTAGGCATCTCGAGTTTGATGGTTGCGATAGATTGAGTATGCCGCGTGGACTGGGGGAGCTGACTTGTCTTCGAACTTTCAAGCGGTTCATCGTGGGTCCATCTAGCAGGTTAAGTGAATTGAAAGATCTAAACAATTTAAGGGGGGAGCTATCAATTGAACTACAGAGGAGGCCAAGATTAAAAGAAGCAGAGGAAGCAAACTTGAAAGAGAAACAACACCTTCAGTCTTTGATATTTGATTTTGGCGCCTATGATGATGATGATGGTGAGTTAGAGTAGGTGTTGGAAGCTCTCCGGCCGCACACAAATTTGAAAAAGCTTGAAATACATGGGTATCGGGGTGTGGGATTACCAACCTGGATGTCCTTCCTCCTGAATCTTGTTCAAATTTCTTTATGGAAATGCGACGGATGGAAACATCTTCCAAAATTGGAGCAGCTTCCTTGTCTCAAAAGCCTCTCTCTCTTTGGCTTAGAATCGGTAGAGTACATAGATGACAACAGTTGTGGCGGTGTTAATGATGAGTCCTCCTCTTTTTCTCCATCTTCTTCGAGAGACCCAACAACAACAACAGCAACGTTCTTTCCATCACTGGAAAATCTCTGTATCAGGGAAATGCCAAATTTGAAGGGTTGGTGGAGGAGTAAATTAGGAGAAGATGAAAAACAATCAACAGCAAACAATCAAGAAGAGCAGCAGCTATTATCACACCCAACATTTCCTTGTCTTGTTGAATCAAAGATCTACGACTGCCCTCAGCTAACATCAATGCCTCTGCAACCAACTGTTGTAAAACTAGAATTTGGGAGAGTCGGCGGGAAGGTAGTACAAGAGCAGTTACTGACGATGGCAAAGGAAACACCAACTACTGTTGCAACCTCATCTTCTTCACTCGTTCCTCTTTCCAACTTAGAGGAACTGCATATATGGGACATTGAGGATCTAGTTACTCTGCCGGAGGAGGCATTCCCACTTCTCACTTCTCTACTAAAACTAAAGATTGAAGGGTGTCCAAAACTAACCTCTCTGTCCAGAGGGATGAGGCATCTCACCGCCCTCATGTCCCTGGAGATCCTGTCCTGCCAAGAGTTGGATTTGTCAGATGATGGCATGCATTTTCAAGGCCTTGGCAACCTAACTTCTCTGGAAATCACCAAAATCCCCAAGTTGGAGTCTATTCCTGCGGGGCTTCAACACGTTACCACTCTCCAATCTCTATCCATTGAAATTCCTAAAAATTTGGAAAGTTTACCAGAGTGGATAGGCAACCTCACATCACTTCAAAAACTCTATATTTATTCTTGCCCGAGTTTGAAGTCACTGCCCGAAGGAATGCGTCGGCTCACCGCATTACAACGACTCATAATCCGAAGTTGTTCACAGGAGCTAAATGATAGATGCCAAAAGGAAACCGGTGAAGATTGGCCTAAGATTGCTCACATCCCCGATGTTCAAATAACTAATAGAAGGTATCCTTCTTAATATTTATATTTTCACCATAAAATCTTCATCTTTTTTTTTTTTTGATAAGCAACTCTTCATCTTGTTCCTCCTTCCTCTCTTAATTTGTTCAAATTTCAGCTGAATATTTGATGTGAACGTTGATGCAAGTATATAATTTACATCTATGTTTCCGCAACACTTATTTCATCTCAGTTTAATTTGATATTAAGTTTACGACACACATGGTATAGTTAGGATCTCTAACTGAATTTAATCAGAAATTTAAATTGAATTTTTGAGCTCCACCTTTTTAAAATTATTGACTGTGATATCTCTTACTGGTATCCTAACAATTTTTTCTACCATAACATGAAGTTCCAAAAGGGTTATGTGCTTTATGGAACTCTATATTCTTCATTGCTTTTAGACATCATCAACATGTTTGAGTGGATAGGAAATATTGGATTCTGTCACAGTATTGGCTTCTAATACACAGCACTCATTTGTGTGTATCTTGTAAATAGAATGATGTATAGGCACTCATTAAATCAGCTCTGATTATTCATTTCATTCTCTAAAAGTATTGAAATCATGATATAACCTCAGCAAAAGCCTTTTAACACTGCCAGGAGAGATTGGAGTCACCTTTTATCATTCAGTTAAACTTCTCCATATTTGGCGAGCTAGTAGTTTATCTTGTTCTTGCTTCTTGTACGTGTTTTTTCCTCTTCTCTTTGTTCAACTTGACAGTTGATTTTGTATGTTGTTGATACAAATACATAATTGTGCATTTATGATTCTTTAATATTTTTCTTATATCAGTTTGATTTGACATAAATTTTGTGACACGCAGGAAGTAATTAGGATCTACAACTAAAAAATTAATAAAAAAAGGTTAAAAAACACTAAAGTGGAGAAGAAAGTACAATAAATCTCCAACTCTTTTTTTCATCTAACATGCATAGCTATGAAAATAATGTACTCACCTTTCATTATTTTATTATTTTATTTATTTATTTATTTTTTCGGTTCCCAGTAAGGTACTCGCCTTTCATGCTTGATCAGGGACTTATAGAGAACAGTGCTTTGCTAAAAAGAGGTCCCTCTATCTCTCACTTTTGTTGGAAAGTAATCTTAGTAATTTCTCAGTCATTAATTATGCGTTAAAAATGAAAAAAGGTTCCTGCTTTTTGAAGGTTGTGGAAGCTTGGTAGGAACAGAAGCATCTTATAAAGTGGTCAACAAATTGGGTTCAAGCCTAGCAGGATGTGAGCACAATTATTTGGATATGAAGCTGTTTGAGAAACTACAGTCACCGGCCATTTCGGGGTTCAGTATGCAAATTATGAGCCTAAGGATTGGAAATATATGCAAATTACATACACATTGCAAATTGACAAAGATCCTCTCATTTCAATCTTTTCACTCAAGATGATCATTTCCAGGTCATGAACTACATATATAGTAGCTTTTGTATATATCTTTGAGTCCATATATAGGAAGAAGCTTAATTGTTAGAAAAATAAATGTTGGTATGTTATATTGAACTATTGACTTTCACTCTATGAATTCTTTGTTTGCCTTTTTCCTTAGGTGATGTTCTAAACTAATTGCTTCAGGTGTTCTCATTCAATCCAAGGAGTTATTTGTACAATAAATTACTGTCTTACTACCATATCTTTAGCAGTAGTGCTTGAAATGTTTCAATGCCAATAGCTCTCCCTAAGAAATGTTTTTTCATATTTGCAGTTAGGTCCAGTGAGGGCAATTGCAGTCACCGCAATTTTCTTTTATTTGTATTTTCATACACTAATTTTGATATTTATAAATGTGCCCTACTGAATTCTTAAGAAAATTCAAAAAAAAAAAAAAAAAAAAAACCTCATTTTCTAACAAAATTTTTAATATTTAGAAAAGACCCATGTCTTCTTCTTCTTCTTCTTGTGAGTCTCAAAAATAAAATTTAAGAATCGTATTTTTTTTTTTTTTAACCAAAAAAACTCTTCCTTTATTATTTGTTACTCACTCCGTCTCAAATTTTAAATTGTAATGACCCGAACCCCAGGGTCCGAATCGCTAACCGGGTCCTTAACCGAACCCGAGGTCGTCTAAGGGCATTATGGTCAATTCTAAGGTCGATACATAATATACGTATCAACCCAAGGTTTATACAAAAAAAATGAGATCATAACTACAAAATATGTCAAAACAGTCCACTAACCTATCAAAACTTGTGGAGGAGCGTTATCCGCCACTTCCTTCTCGTGCCCTGAAAAAAAAAAAATTTAATATAATGGGATGAGCCAACTGCTCAGTAGGAAGTGTCTAAGACATACCTCTTAAGACCCCATGAATCCACATAAGGAATAGAATACAAGTGAACGGGATAATGCATCGGGAAACAAGTAGAGCAATGACAACAATAAGAAAGTAAACAAGTCATCCGACCAACACGTGTGCAATGTATGCCAATGAAATGCCATGTCATGTAATGTCACTCTCCATTTCAGAAACAATATCGTTTTACCTTCAAATCGTTAGTACAATCCGACCCAAGGCAACTCTAAGGCGTCACGAGTGGAGGATTGGCTAACTATCCACGATCACAAGGCAATTCCAAGGCGTCGTATCCGGCCTAGGTAGCTCAACCACGCTAGGGTTTCTCCTTAGTCCCCTCTAGACCACACTAACGCCACGGACTACTAGGCAACTTCTTGGCACCCGGTTTTCGCAAACATTTTTTGAAAAACTTTTCCCAAAATAATTTCATTTATTTTTCAAAACATTTCCCTTTTTTTATTTCCAATGAATGCTTGAATGCTTCATGCTCCTAATTACCAATTCAACAATAAAATTCCACACATTCCATCTACATCATTATCACATTTTTGATCGAGAATTCCAAACATTTATTTCACAACCACAACATCAATTTCCATAGTAATTGAGAAATCTCAAGACACAATTTGCCAATATTAAGCCTAATTCTTTACAATAATGTAAATAGTTATGTATCTAACCCAATTAACATGTAAAACACATTCATCCTTTTGACTACATACAACCACAATAATAATTGACAAGATAATTGAAATTTAGCATGCTTAAGGTCAAATTAAAGAGGAAAATTCATAAGAAATCAAAGAAATAATGGATTAAAACACTCCTACCTCAAATTGAAGAAAAAACCTAAAAAATACCCAAAATTGGAAATCCCAAATGGTAGCCAAACGACACTTTGCTCCGATCAAAACGTTGGCCTCGACGCGCTCAACAACTTTGCGAAATTATTGTACAATAATCCTCCAACTCTTTCTTTCATCTGAGTCATCTGACATACATAGTTGTTAAATTATTGTACTTACTTTTCAAGTGTGTGCACGCATTTTTTAGTTGTTGTTGTTGTTGTAAGGTACTCACCTCTCATGCATGCTTGATCAGGGAATGGATCAGGGACTGATAGAGAAAAGTGTTTTTGCTCAAAAGGTCTCTCTCTTGTTGGAAAGGGGTCATCAAAGTGGGTTCAAGCCTACCAGGATGTGAGCACAATTATTTCTATGCATACATTCACAATGCAATTTTTTTTTTTTTTTTTTTTTTTCCCTCAAACATTGCAGGAAGTCACAATTTGTTCCATTACTTTATTATTATTATTTATTATTTATATATTTGTTTATCATGGCAAACTAGGGGAGAGGGATCTCGAATACGGGCACACTCGCTCAAAGAGTTGGGCACTTTAGCAACTAAGCCACTGATAATGAACATTTTTTCCCTTACATATCCCGGTGTTTTTGAAAAAAAAATGATACTCAATCCGTCAGCAGAACATGGTGCTTTAAAAGGTTTTGTAGTGCTTGTAATATTTCCAAGCTGGTAGCTCTCTTTAAGAAACGCTTTTTCATATTTGGACTTTTATTTTCTGCTCTCATAGATTTCAGAAATTGCTTTTTTGAATGTGGTGCTTTAAAAGGTACTCACCTCTCATGCATGCTTGATCGGCAGAGAGCAGTGTCTTTGTTCAAAAGGTCTCTCTCTTGTTAGAAATGGGCCAACAAAGTGGGTTCAAGCCTACCAGTATGTGAGCACAATTATTTGGATGCATACATTCACATTGCAATTTTTATTTTATTTTTTTCCCCAAAACATTCCAGGAAGTCACAATTTGTTCCATTACTTTTTTTTATTATTATCTATATATTTGTTTATCCTGGCAAACTAGGGGAGAAAGACGTCGAACACGGACACACTCGCTTGAAGAGCTATGCGCATTTGTTCCCTCACATATCCCAGTGTTTTTGAAGAAAAATGGGACTCAATCTGTCAACAGAACGTGGTGCTTTAAAAGGTACTCACCTCTCATTCATGCTTGATCAGGAACTGGTAGAGAGTAGTGTCTTTGTTCAAAAGGTCTCTCCCTTATTGGAAATGGGTCAGCAAAGTAGGTTCAAGCCTACTAGTATGAGCACAATTATTTGGATACATACATTCACATTGCTATTTTTTTTTTTCCTTTCCAAAACATTGCTAGAAGTCACAATTTGTTCCATCACTTTTTTTATTATTTGTAATACACCTAATTTTAAAAGGATAGTCTCGGCATTTTAATTTTTCTTTTATTGCATTTTTATTTGTTTAATTGTTAATTTTGTTTGTTTAATTGTTTCTTTGCATTTATTAATTGATATTTGAATTAAATTGATTTAATTGTTTTTATGTGAATTATTTGACTTATTTACATTGTTTAGTTATTGTGTGCTATTTTTCTTTACTTGTTAATTGTATTATTTTTATTAGCATTTCACTGTTTTAATGAGGTTAAATTAATGTAGTTATTGTAATGTTAAAATTTAGTTATTAAATTTAAGTTACGTATATGCAGCCGAGTATATTATAACCTAGGTTGCTCTATGGGCCGACTAAGATCGACATTAGGGCTCTGTCTCTAATCATACAGGGAATAGGGTTTTATTTAAGTCTCTCTATATATAGAACAGTACATCGACTTAGGGTTTTTAGAATACACAATCCCTATTCACGTACCAAGGTTATAGAGAGAAACAGAGAGTAAGTTCATAAAACAGAGGGTTGAGAACGAAGGCACCGTAAGGGCTGTCAAGGAGAAGAATAGAGGGGCCAAGGGAGTGTCATGGTGGATTAAACCAGAACCATAGGAGGCTTGAAGGGATTCAGTGGTTGCCGAAAATTTAGAAGCGACGCCGAGATTTCATAAGTGAAATCACAGGCAAGTTCTTTTCTTCCTCTTTCCCTTTGGCTCGTGTTCTGTGCACCTAGATAGTCTCTAGGGTTTAATTGATCATTAACTCAGATTTACATGTTTATTATATGCTATATTGATGATCTATATGTATTGAAATAAATTCTGTTATAGTCGTGCATGTCTTAGTTTTAGTTTTATTCTTTAAGCATGCTAAATCGGTATGGTTGTAATTACTGTAATTGCTTTCAACTACTGTAAACAAACCATGGGGATGCTACTGGGATTAGATAAGACTCCTAAGTTCAGTATTGAAGAGGAATAGAGGGGTTGGTGGTATGTCGTCAACCCAATCCAAAGTTTGTGCACCAAAAGATAGTGGTGTAGGGCTATGATGAATGTGGCCAAGTTTTACATTTAGAAATTACCACTACTACCTTTCACTAAAAATATAGTTAGGGCGAGTAGGGATCGTCCCAAGGGATTGGTAGGTCGTATTAGGTTGTGGAATCAAGATTAGGGTTAGTAGGTCGAGTGATCAAAAGATTGGTTGGTGGTTGAATTACACTAAGATGCAATTTATACTAAAGTAGGTAATTAAATGTAATGGAGAGAAAATAAGAGAGAGATCTTGGGATTTAGAGATTACCACTAAGCATAACTCTTCTACACCCTTAATGAATGATTAATGAGGGGGAAAACATGTATTGCAACATAGTGTGTGTGCGGTTGTTTCAACAAGCATGGATGATAAATTAAGCATATATTGTCTAAGCAACATGGTGGATAACATAATATATCAAACTAAGCCATTAATCATTTCTTTAAGCTCACAATCCAAACACATTATAAGGTTAGAGATATATACTACTTGCTTTCATAAGTATTGAACATCAAACAATAAGCATGGATTGTCCTCCCATTTAACATCTAAACTACAACTACACTACAATTAAGCTAATGACATGAAATTAAACTAAGTAAACTAATGGAGATGCACAATCCATCAAGAAATGAATATGAACCATCAAATAAACCACAAGAGCATTCCATTAAACACTATGTCTTGACAATCTATAGATCTATAGCATTAATACACATAGACATGCATCAACAACACAAGAAATAGAGATAAACCCATGAACATCTATTCTAGCATACATAGACATATGGATAGAATGAGATGATCAATTGGAAGTATTAAACCACACAAATCATTGAATAAACAATATTTATATATATATAAGTGTCAAAACATGTATCACAATATAAATCCCCTCAAAAATACAAAAATCAAGATGTAGAAAACATGCTTAGGGCTAACTCTAGCCCCAAGAAGATGTCTAGCCACTCATGGATGGTGTTCTCCAACCCTTAAGGGCTAACTCCATGGTAGAGATTGCTCATCTTCTTAGTTGATGGAAGAACTCCAAGCTTGTGTCTCTAGCCTCTTCCTTTTTTTTCTTCCTCACTAAGAATATGGAAATTGTGTCTCTAGTGTATATATCTAGTATATGTTAAGAATGACTCAAATTCCTTATATAGGTAGGTTAAATATCACCCCCAATGAGCTGGGCTCATGCAACAATATTCCTTCCAATGATTAGATATGAGACAACTTTTAATGAGCTGGAAATTGGATTTTCTTGCACTTTGGGAAATTCGATCGATCGAACTTGTGGTGAAATCGATCGAACATGGCTGAGATCTATCAAATTTAAGCTGGATCGATCCTCTATGACCGTGCCTTTTTGGATAAAGACAAATCTGAAATATTTTGAAGATATTTTTGGGAAAGAGACAAGTGTGGTAGGGTGGTACAACTCGATAAGATGGAATCTTTTCAATTGATCGGAAGAAAGTTGGATCGATCGAACTTTGTGGGATCTTTGGATAAGGACAAAAGAGCTTGGATCCATCTTGAAATGCTGAGATCGATGAACTTTTGATTGATCGAATATTTTCTGAGATCGATCAAACTTGCTGAATTTCCACCACTTGCTTCCTTTTGCTCCCACTTTACTCATTTCTTTGATCTATCTCAAGATTGTTTCAATTATGTTCTTAT